GGTATCTCATGGTGGGTAAGCAGTACGAATCGAAACCTGTAGCGTCGAGTGTGTGAGTACCCTGCTATCCGGATTGGGAGTTAGATCTCGCCAATCTCGAGGAGGACGAAAACTCTTACCTGCACTAGTCAAAGACGGCGAGAAAATGGTGGTCGCTAATAGACCAGACACACACACGGGCGCATCGGAGCGTTTCAGGCCGCCAGAGAGAGTAGGAAAAGGAGACAGAGCAGAATGAGGACCTTGAGTGACCGGGAAGACACGTGAGTGCCACCAAGGTGCTCATGCTCTCAAGGTGCTCATTCTCTCCATTTTATAAGTATTCTGACTTTCAACACCCGCACAACGATTCCTCTCGTTTCTTTCCTTCCTTTCGGTCATGAATGCAGGTCTTCTCTCACCTGGGAGGTGTATCCAAGATGAGACGGATGAAGGAGGTTGATCATCATTCACCAACCCGTGATCAGAATCCACTTCAGGCGACGGCTGCTGACATTTAGCGTCTTTTCTGGTCAAGCCTATGGTGGGGAAGCAGGGTCAGGCAACGCTCCCTCACTAACCAAGGTTTAGCCATGCTACAAGAGTTATTGCAGGCTGTTATGTAACTCGCCATTCAGCTGCCTCACCCCACAGCCGACTCAAGCCAAATGAGGGGCTGCACCGTCATGTTTGGTGCAGCGTGGAATGGTCATGACGCGCGGATAGCGCAGGAAAATGGCACGACGGATGAAATTGGTTGCTCTGGAAGGACATAAATAGGCCCTCATGCCTCTGGTTGCTCGATCTTTTCTAATTAACCACAACTCAAGTCTCAAGTTCTCCAGCGAAAGCAAAGCCTTCAATCTCAAACTACTTTAGTACATCTTTACCGGTTTTATACCAACTCTGCCAAAATGTCTCCCTGCTCCTGCAACTGCTGCTCTGGCAACTGCTCCAGCTGCTCCTGCGCCTCTTGCAGCGTGAGTAACCCATACTTTTGAGCCACCTGGTCTTGTATACCGGCGAAACCAGAGGAAACTGACCTAATAATAATTAGCATTAAATGCTGTCGATGCTCGCTCCCCGGCCATGACTTCACCACCGCGCCTCGGCCATCTATACCAATACCACCAATTTCAGGCTGCATCTCGGGCTTGAAGACAACACTTTAGGGTATATTGAGATGGTTGATTTGAAACACTTGGGTGCGCAAGTGGGAGTGAAATGGAATGTATTCATGATATGGGTTTATGATTTTAGTTGTCTTTTATCATGTCACCTACATTAAAGCTTCAGGTGTGCCAAGTACAATAGAAAAGACTTTTTTGGAGGATAAACTTGTCCCGCAATAAACAGATAATTGTAGATAAAGTTGTCAAAAGGCAACGCCATGAAGCATCTGCAGACTCCATGCAGATGCACGTGTTAAATGCATGTAGTGAAACGTTGGACAGTACTCCACAGGGTTGATCGCAGTCGCGTTCGTTATTTCGACCTCCACTACAGAAGGGTTTGATACAAGCACGGGAATAGCCGTAAGGGACAAGAGCTTCCACATGGCTTGCTTTTTACAACATGGAATGCATCATCCACATGTTGGCGGCGGATTCCGCATCGGAACTTTCCCCGATAGGAAGCATCCAACGTGACTCAATTGGCAGGATCTACGAACAGCCAAAGAGATTTCAGGCTTTTAGACTCTGAGGACTGGATTAGGGGTCTCATCTGTGTGGGCCTCTGCAGTTTGCGTCTGCCGACGGAGCTCTCGGTTAAGCTAGATTATGACTGCATCATCGCAGTGCGATATGGGGCCAAGACGCAAGGGGTATTTGACAGCGTCTCGTACTTCGTGCTGTACATGACATCTCCTATGATGATATGTCTTTGATATTGTTCAGATGTGTTGTTTCTGTATCGGTCCACATCTTCTGTCTTCATTCCTGTGACCATGAGGTAGGAATATCGACAACAATTAGGCTAACCAAAAAGGCAAACCGCAATATTCGTGTAAGACATGGGGCTAAAGGTTAGCGAGGACTAGTTCACGAGAGCGAATAGAACCAGGAGGAATTATGTAGGAGAGAGGCATCCATCGACCACTGTTTCGCTTGGGTTAGACAGCGGCAACTTCGGATTTGTTTCCTGATCAGTTCGATCAACTGTGGCGTTTTCTAGTCGGCATTAAGCGCCGCAGGGTGGTCCACCATGAAGAAGAAAATGACCAAATCTTTATTCATGCGTCTATTATCCATCTAAGACAACCCTAGATAGGAGCCATGCGATTGGACTAAGATGGTGGACTGGTGTGAGTACCTGCTTGGTCGTCGAGAAGTGAGCAAATAACTCACAGCGCCTGTCGGGGGACATCCGATAACTATCACGCTGAATCTGGGTTTGGGCAGCAGGGGCACACCAACCAGGCTATGCATGTAGGAGAGAGAGGGGGCGGATAATGGATCGGGCCAACCGGTGGCATGCGCGACGAGGGAAGCGGTACCTTAGTGGAGGTCTAAACCATGCTAAAACCAGGCCAGACCCGGTTGGGGTGGGCTGGGCTTAATCTCTTCCGCCGACCATCTTCCTCGCTTCCTCCCCACCCGTATCCACGGCACCTGTCTGACAGCCCATCACCATCACCCTCATCATTATTACCAACGTCCTTCCTCCGCTGACTTTCCACCAAGGTCCTACCTGCTACAAATCCCTCTCCTGATTTTGGCTGCAGCGTGAATTGAAGAATGGTGGTGTGATGGTGACAATCTGATGATGGCCATACTCGATTGTCTCATGAAGAAGATACCCCTGCTCATGGAGCGATATTCTTGCATGAAGATGATGCAGAACGTGGGAGTCGACAATTGTAATTCACTCAATCATTGGCTAACACTCGCAAAAGCAATAGTCAGATAAGTTAAATGAATAAACGAGTCAGAGGCAGGCTACCTTGTTAGTGTCGGGGACCGGGCCTGTCCACGCTCTCAAGGTCCTCACAAGGTCCTCACCTGGAAAATCTCTGCCACGCACTTCCATTATATAAGACCGTGACGCAACGATGGCCAAACTGAGGAAATGATCAGAGCCGTCAATTCTATTCTCTCATCTTTCCAATTATCTGAGTGACATACAATCTCAATATTCTCAAAATGTCGTTCAATCCTAATGATGTTGACCTCGACACGGCCGACCCAACGGAGATCATCTGCTATCTCAACAAGTCAGAAAATGACTACAACGGTCAGCTGGGCGCCCGCATTTCGGCTATTTTCGTGATCTTTGCCGTTTCAACTGCAGTGACCTTCTTCCCCGTCGTCGCCAAGCGCGTCCCCAGGCTGCATATCCCACTCTACGTCTACCTCTTCGCTCGTTACTTCGGTGCTGGTGTTATTATTGCAACAGCTTTTATCCATCTTCTGGACCCCGCATACTCTGAAATCGGCCCGCAGTCATGTGTCGGAATGACTGGTAACTGGGCGGATTATTCCTGGTGCCCTGCGATCGTCTTGACCTCGCTCATGTGCATCTTCCTCCTTGACTTTGGTGCCGAGCGCTATGTCGAAGTCAAGTATGGCGTCTGCAGAGAGGACCCCGAGCCAATCATGACCAGTGCGGTGGATAACTCGACTGTGGACAAGGCATCGCCCGGAAACTCTAGGAAGAGCGAGGCTGATGTGGAGGAGTTGTCCACCACTGACACACTGATCGAAAGGTCCTTCAAGCAACAGATTGCCGCCTTTCTCATTCTCGAGTTCGGTGTCATCTTCCACTCCGTCATTATTGGTCTGAACCTGGGAGTCACCGGCGACGAATTTGCGACGCTTTACCCGGTCCTGGTCTTCCACCAGTCCTTCGAGGGTCTGGGTATCGGAGCTCGTATGTCCGCCATCCCCTTCCGCAAGGGCAGTTGGCTGCCGTGGATCCTTTGCAGCTTGTACGGATTGACCACGCCCATCTCGATCGCTATTGGCCTTGGTGTCAGAACAACCTACAACTCTGGCTCGTACACTGCCAACGTGGTCTCCGGTGTTTTGGATGCCATTTCTGCCGGTATCCTAATCTACACCGGTCTGGTTGAGCTTTTGGCCAGAGATTTCCTCTTCGACCCTCACCGCTCCCAAGACAACAAGAGACTGGCATTCATGGTTGTCACCATGCTCTGGGGTGCTGGTATCATGGCCCTTCTCGGAAAGTGGGCTTAAGGTCTGACGGAGGTGCTGTCGTGAAATCGTGTGTGTCGCTTCTGTTAAGATTCTGCCGCTGGTTCTGATATCCGTTGCTCATGCAACCTTCTTCTTGCTCATATTGCACCCATTTGCTGTTAGAAATACCCTTGCATTCTATTCCAAAATTCTTTGTCATGTGCACATATGTACGGACGATAATAATTAGCTAGGACGAAAGTGCTCAGACTGATAATGATTTATTTTCCCTCTGTCAACATAAACCTGCCCATTTACGTACTCTTCCATGAACTAAAGTGGCTTTCATCTCCTCGATAATCTTATACTTATGAGATAGGCTTCTAAGAATCAACAACCAAAACCTCGAGCTGGTCCAAGAGCAAAGACCCCTCTGTCCACTACATTGTCTGACTCAGATCTAATTCGAGGGAAGATGTACCGTCGAGAAGCACGTGCCACCTTAACTGTCTTCCAATCCTGCTAGTACTCGTCGCCTACTCAGTACCAACCAAGCTACAGATATGCAGAGACTTTATCGAGGCGCGTCCCCTTCTCCAGAAGACATTGAACTATGCACATATCGAACAGATATGATCCCACTGACGCTGATTAAAGGCATACCCTTGTGCGACAAACTCCCTCGAGGGACTCCTACAGACAACGACAGCAGCAACATGTCTTCCACCATCAATCAATCAAACCAAGTTAGTTTATTTCGATCGCAACAACGCCTCGATTGTTCTTGATTCCATAGACTCATCACGTCCGCATTAACTAACTACTTTCTTCACACCAGGGCGCTTGCTATCACCCACCCTCTCCCGAAATCCCTTCGTGAACATCCCCACCAACCCCCTCCCCAGCTCCTCAACAACAGCCTAACTAGAAGGCGCCGTATCCTTAACAGTGGGATAATAATACCCACTCTCATCCAAGCTCGACGTATCCCAGTACACCTGATAAACATCGGTGACATTAGTCTCCTTGAGACGGAACACATCGCTCAACTCGCCAGACGACTCCTCCCACATGAGATAAGAGCCATAGAAGAGGAAGCCATCAGTGGCGGCATCAGAAGGCGTATCGATGCCGTTGCCGGTGAAACCAACAGGCAGGATCTCGTCAGCCGTGGGACGGATATAGAACAGGGTGTCGGAGTCGAGGGTGACACCGTCGGTGGTGGCAGTGGTAATTAGTTCGGTGTCAGTGATGACGACTACAGCATGGTTAGTGAGACTGCTCTGTGCATGTGGTTTGGAAGGAATGCTGACAGGTGACGTCGGTGGTGACGGATCCATAGGGCCAGAGAGATGAGTCACCGGCGTAGGCGAGTCCTGGTGATGTCAGCGTGATTTCGGGGATTGAGTTGAGATGACTTTGTACCATCGGAATAGAAGAACTTGAGACCTGAAGCAGCGACACCCCAGGCATACAGACTGAAGGAACCGCTGGGGTTGCGCTTCTCGAGGTTGGATTCGATCTCTGCAGACGGAGCGGCAAGAGCACCAGCGGCCAGGGCCAAGGCGGAGAGGACGGAGGACTTCATGGTGAGCAAGATTAATTTCTTGAGTAATGTTAACTAGTGAGAAAGCTAGATACTTTCATGACGAGAGAACAGTCCCGCTTTATATCCTCAGTTCCTCAGGGAGGGAACTATCTTCAGCCAAATGCATAAGTCCCACCATGCAACATGATTGCCTAAGCTTAAGTTCCTCAGGGATTTGGGGTCCAAAAACAAACCAATGACAGACTGAAAACTCTTATTCTGGTATTTCTAACCTCGTATAGACTATGGGCATACGTATGCAGACCAACTGTATGCGGGATAGTGGCGACTAGCGCTGGGACTCCCGGCTTGGCCTGAAGAGCCTTCGGAGGGACATGGACTGAGATATATACGCTTAGGTCTTATTCACGCCTTGAAGATGTCATGCGGCTGATTATTTTACAGACGCTCACTCATTGGTTCTTCGTTCGTAAATCTGCTAACTACACTGGCTGGTGTGGGAGAATTGTGCGATTTGCGGATGAAGCTTTACGAAACAAGACCGATAGCTTCACCCCACTACAGCTCTCTTCGAATTTGCGATGAGGCGAAAAGTGGAGATTCTAACAAATATGCCCACTTATAAATTCTTATCTAATCCGTGCGAACCAAGTTTGACGGTGGGCCAGAGATCTAGATAGCTGCTCAACATCGGAAATCCCGAGATTCTGCAGACATTTCAAATATTGCTATACTGCAAGCAAATAGAGCTTTCTCTTATTCCATACATCTAACACACTGTTCAAATACCACAATGACATTATTCATAAAGTGCTATTCAAAAGTCTATATCTATCACCTATCTATAATGTCACCCTACTCAGGAACCCCCCTCAAACTCACCACCGTATCCCTCACACTCTCCCTCAACCCACGATAAACCAACCCCAAATCACCCACCGACGCCGAATTATCAAACCCATACTTCGGCCCACCCTCCGGATACTCCCCATCCCTCAACGCCTCCTCACCCACAGGCAACCCCTCCTTGATCTCAGGAAACTCCTCCCCCAAAACCTCCACAATCTCCCTATTACAAAACCCTCCCGCCGTCAAAAAATACCTCTTCCCATCCGTCACCTCCCCCTTCTCCAACGCCACCGCATGCGCCATCGCCGCATCCCTCACATCCACCCAAAACGCACTCCCCGTCGCGGGACACCTCTCCTTAAACTTCCCCGCCACGAAATCCCTAATCCTCGTATTCGACGTATTCACCTCCCCCAGATTCCTCAACGACCCAGGCACAACCGGCCCAAATATCAACGACGGATTCATCACCGTCAGCCCAAAGCTCGGCTTCTCCCGCTCCATAAACCCCCACGCTTCCCGTTCCGCCAGCGCCTTACTCGTCCGATACCCCGCCTGCCCCTGCGCATTCGCAGGACTAACCGCTTCTTCCCAGGTAACGGTATTCCAATCCTTCTCGGAGTACTTGCTCCCCGCGGGTTTATTGGGATTCCACATCGCCGCGAACGACGACGTAATCACCACTTTTTTCACCGTAGGTGCGTACTTTTGCACGGAGCTTAATATACCAATGGTGCCGTTAACGGCGGGATCCAACATGTCTTTCTTGATATTGTCGATGCTGTAGTGGAATGGACTCGCCGTGTGGATCACACCGGTGAGTGGGGGATCGTTGACCACGGCGGAGTCGAATGCCGAGAGGAGGGAAATGTCCGGGACGATTTTAATTATAAGTCGGTGAGGTGGGATGTCAGGACGGATGGATTGTACCTGTGAGGCTTTTTCAGCGCTCCGCACGGTCGTGATTATGTTGTGGCCCCGGGAGAGGAGGATGTCGATTAGGGTGCTGGCGAGGAAGCCGGTGCCGCCGGTGATGAGGATTTGGGACATTTTCTTTCTATTCTTCTCTTTGTTGGTAGTAGTAGTTTGATTGATTGGTTGGTTGGGTGATTGGAGAACGAGAATTGATATTTTAGATGTAAAATGGAAGATGGAATGGGCCGAGATGAGTATTTATACTATGTCAGTCAGTGGTCTGAAAGTAAGCAAAGTAGGTAGTAGTTGATAACACCGACACTTATCACCGCATACCTCCGCTCCGATCGGGAGGAGATTAGCGGGTGGGTCGGGGTTTATGCTAAGCTCCGTGTACTTACTGCCTACCCGTTGTACCTGTCCGTATCCGTGTCCGGTTTATATTACTAAGGCTGTGTAACTTTGTAGATCGGACTAGATGCTTATGTTAATCAGCGGCGCGGAAATGAAATCCTTCGCGTGGTCTCTGCACTGCTGATAGGTGTTTGTGGCGGAAGGACATCGGATTTAGGGGTTTACTGAAGTAGTACCTTAGTATTTATCAAAGCGAGGACTGGTTGGGCTGTTTGAGGGGTTCGGGTTCGGATTCGGAAGGGTTACTGTTGTGAGACTACTTACTAGGGTCTTAGTCTTAGTTTCTTTGTAAGATGGATGACATCATACTCAGTCTAGATTCGGATTGGGGGGTAATGCTTGTCAGCTTGGTATTTGGTTCAGGTACGGAGTACTACTACTACTACTACTACTACTTTGTGAAAGTGTTGTTTTGTTGATGAGGATGAGAAAGAATGTTTCTGGTTGGGTGTAGGTCGTCGTGTACTGAGAGGTTCTTCTAGATGTCAGCTGTGCATGAATGATGACTACCCTGTATAGATGTTTGTATTTAATGAATGTACATCGTAGATACCTCTGTACTTTGCACAAGTACAAAATAATTATCGAATCGCATCCCTGGCTCGGATGACGGCCCGACCCGAGTTCATGGATCATAGAGCTTTTATAGCCATCAGGCAGGGTCTCAGGTAGAATATATGAGATGTGAGTAGTAAGTAGTCATGAAAAGTCATGCACATGGTAAGGTATCAATCACCTCCTAATAGCCCTCGCAACCCCCATCTCAAACCTCGTTCTATTAATCTTCGTCAACACCCTCCCCATCCACTCACACCATTGCACAATCCTCTCATGCACCTCATCACTCCCAAACCTCTCTTCGACCGTTTCCACAAACCGACTCTCCATCCACTGCCAAACAAACGCCCTCCTCGACACCAACTCCACATCCCACCATCTCTGCACCCCGCCCTCCTTCCACTTCGGCTGCTCTCCCACCAGAATAAAAACCGGTCCCATGATCGAAAACAACTCCATAATTTCCTCCACAAGCGCCTCATCCTCGAGCCAGATAACCTCCTCACTCACGACCACTAACGGCAACGAAAAAACCACCCTCGCTGCCTTGCCATTCATATCGGGCTGTTCCAGACGGTCTCCTGCCCCGAGGATCAAATCCACAATGTTGTCGGGAACGAGGTAGAGCCAGTCGCTGTCGATATCGAATGGGCGGGAGAAGGGGGGTATATATTCGCTACTGTTATTATCATTGTACGTTTGAGCCTGGATTTGTTGTTGTTCGTTAAGGCGGTTCGTCCGTGGAGCTGATATCCGCTGCGCCCATTTCTGTGCAATGGCTCGCGATTCGCTGTTCACGTGCAGTAAAGGGGTATGGATCTGTACGTGGTCCAGAAGGCTCATGTCGAATACTATCTCGTAGTTGCCATTGGGATCGTTGATTTGGCCTGGCTCTCCGGTGTAGGGTATGGGCTTGGTCACCCAGCAACCTTTTCTGTGGGGGAGTAAGGCTGAAGGAGGGTGTGTGGGTTCGGGAAGGGCAGATTGCCAAATTTGGTGGCGGAGTTCGGCGGGGAGGAAGGGGAAGAGTGGGAATGTTTTTGCTGTGTTGGCTGTTGTTTGATTTCTTCTTGAGGTGTTCGGGGTGGGGTCTGCTGAAGTGGGATTGTTCATGATGTTTTGTGGATTGGGTTCTTGTTGTATGTGTAGAAGTGGCGTCGATCAATTCTCAAATGGACTTTCAGACTGTGGAGAGGTGACTTGGAGACAATAAGCAGGGGAAAGCTGTCAAGGCTGACTGATGGGCTACCTTTGTTAGTTAAGGAAGACTGCGCCACGCCCCTCGCATGTGACTACCCGGTCGCAAGACTGTCCGTCGATAATCTTCAAGATGGAATTGACAGGTAGGAAAGTTAACTTGTAGTCGCTGTAATAACTTCGTTCAGCCTATTTGGTGATTGATGTTAACATGACGAGGTACTTGACATCCTTAATGGCTTCTTTTAGGGAGGAGGAACGTACGCAACCGTTGTAAGTGTGCACCGGTGAACCCAACTGACCGAAGTTCCAACTCAAGCACTCGCTACGTTTTCTTTATCGGGAAAATGTTTCAAAAATAGAAAGAGCCATGAAGTGATTAACACAAAGATCTCGGATTTACTAAGCACCGAGCTCGTGAGCGACGTGATCAGAAGGGTATGTAAAATTGATGAAATGGCCCGGATCAGGGACAACAGCGCTAAAGGATTCAAGAACCAGCTCAGGGCAATGCAGATCATAACAGCGTGATTGAATAGAAACAAATAGCACAATGCGACTTGCACGTTTCACATCTCAGATGTGCGTGAGGGAATCTATGCATAAACAAAGGAAATCAACAGCCGGCTAGAGAAAGATTAGGGTCGCGAGGAGACATCAGGAAGAAGCAAAAGAGTGAAAGAGCTAACACAGCATTGGCTATACTGTGGGATCAACATGCACGCCCAAGCATAGGTCAATGAATGATGTTGAATAGTGAGGGTATAGATCAGGCTGGCATAGAACCGAAGGTAAAGGGAACTTGTAGTCGCTTTTTGCTACTGTACAACCAGGCCTATTAGCCATGCAATGTAGTCAATATTCAAGGTCAAGATCGTACCTTGGAAGTTCGTTCTTGCTTCGCGCAGTGCACTCATGGCACTGAACAGATGTCTTTCTGCCTCTTCTATGTGCGAGTGGATAACTGTGACGTCATAGGCATTTCGATAGTTTGCAAGAACATGAATTCTCGCCTTGGCCGAGCTACATTGTACCAGATGCATTAGCATTATTGCAAGTAAGATGGCCATGATCGCGACTTGTGTCGCGATAGCCACACATGCAGAGTGAGATGGTGAGGAATACCTAAGAGCAGCCTCCCCCCATTCGATCGCCAACTGTATCGACTTCACATGCTGATCAGGAGTGGCCTCCATTGTCAACAACGGCTCGTTCATGTAGATGGCCTTTCTCTGAATAAAGATCTTGTCGAGGTATTTGTAGTGCTCATAAGCGTCGGTGAGCTCCCCCGACCACGGATTTTGTTTGCGATAGGTCTTAGGATCTATAGTGTCGAACCATTGACGGAGCAAGGCGATCGTGTTATGATTATCGCGAATTTCATATTTCATATGTCGTAGAGTCCACGGACAGGACCAAGGAACGTATGAATAGCGCCTGGTATGTTGGCCCCAAAGTGACCCCGCACACAATTTTGACCTCACAATCGGCCGTTTGGCGATGTGATGCATGTGATGTGGCGGTGAGGGGAGATTCGCTTGATAGAGGGGTAGTTATCTCTGGAATTGATACGGGCTATGAAAGGTGTGGATGGGTAGAGAGTGTAGTTATGGTAAATGGGTGCGGTCCCGCGCAGCTGGTAATAGTGGTGTGAATGAGGAAAAAAATGTGGACCGAGCAAGTACCTCGCTCGGTGTTATAAAGGGAGCTCTCAGCTTGTTGCTCCCTGGCGTCTACAGGGGGGGGGGTTACCCCGCATCTTCGGTGTTGCTTATGTCACCGCAGTATGTGCCGGGGAACGTCAGCCGACCAAAGTCAATCATTCCACTGTTCTGCACTATGCCCAGATGAGTCAATTCCTAGCAGTCATCTAGGAGACTATAGTATGGAATACACTATAGGCCTTAAATTGGTCGAAGAATCAAGGATTTATTATTCTACATATAAGGTGCAAATGTAATTTGAAGCAATGACGGGTCTCGTGCTTCCGTTGGGTGTTACTCCCGCCCGCTGATCGACAATCAGGCACAATAGAGCTCAAAGATAAAAGTGGCAGTGAACATGGGTGCATGCAGATACTCCTATCGAGCGAAGTTTCTATCGTTGTATTCCCTTGGGTCCTCACCCAATGATAACCGTAACCTTTTACGCCACCTCCTTGCCAACACTTCCTTCGCACCGGTGCGTTCCAGCCGCGCTGCATCCCACATAACGTAGCCCCATTCTGCAATATACGACACACCCTCACCTCCCAGCATATTACTGTAAGTTTCTCCCCATAGTATTGTCCACGCCAGTGGCGGGTACTCTCCGTCCGAGTTGTTGACAATATCACCTCGAAAGGGCAATGGATCTCTCAGCTCCTCTCTCTTGTCCTCGGCCGACGGGTAATCGAGGCGGCGATTGTGTCTTGTGTCAATACCGAGAGCCCCGCCGTAATTACCCAGAAATTCGGCCCATAATATAACCAAGTTATTCTCCATAATGCGGTCTACCTCCATATGGTCCTGAATCTCATACAAGATCTTGTGTAGGAATCCGAGACCTCGTGTAAGTACTCCCCTAAAGTAGCAGTCATCGTAAGCTGTCATCAAATTAGTTTCCTCCCGAATATTCTGTGTGTCACAAATCAAACCATCAAAGTCTTGCAACGAGGGGATTACTGACAGCGAATATGGAGTGCACCAACCGGGGTCCATGGTCTTCCTTGGCGGTCAAACCTGGGATTGTCTTCATGAAAGTCCCACTCGATAGACTTAATGATTTCCGTACATTTCCCTTCTGCAAAAAGATTGATGCTCCATAACTCCTCCAATTCCCAGGGGTGATAGAGACTCTCAAGAAACTGGCATATTTTGCGAGTTTTTACAAACAGGTAGTCCTGACCGCCGTCACTAACATGGTTTTGGTGAGGGCCAAGGCCAAACAGATTGCAGCAAATCTGGAAGCGATAAAGAGCGCGGATGATCCTGAATTCCTCAGACTCACTTAGAGGCTCATCGACCTTGGTATGTGACGCTTCCGGCTCCTTTGCCAAATTGCTCAGTGCCCACTCAGCATAGTGTTTTGCAAAAGGCTTTATCACATCAAAATGGAAGGCCATCATGTCCTTGGCATCTTCTCTAGTGAGATATTCTGTTAAATTAGAGAACTTGGACGACGAGCGCCGCTCCTTGAGAGACTGGCAAAATTGAAGGATATTGTCGGAGGTGCGTGCTTCAGAAAAGGCTAGTGAGCCAGTCTCATGGACAACAGATGCTTCGAAGATCAGGCTACCCAGGGTATTCTCCAGGCAGCCAAAGAGAAGAAGCCCGCAATCGACAAGGTACTGTTCATGGTAGATGGATGACGCTTCAACCAAAGCTTTGAGCTCTTTGTATCCCAGCAAGGAGAGAATCTGGAATCGAATCTCAGCTGGGAGGGCCTCAAGGTGTGTATGTGAGTGCGAATAGCAAGTGTCATGTGTGGGTAGGCATTTGGATAGTTCCGATAGACTTGAGTCATCTGGAAGTACGCTTCCAGACAAGTCCGACGGTTTCGAACCATGTGTCAGTTTGCTTTCGGAAAAGTCCGAGAGTTTCGAGTCATCTGCTAGTATGCTTTCAGACAGGTCTGAGGGGTTTGAGTGATCTGATGGTAGGCTTTCAGATTTATCTGAAAGGTTCCAGTCGTCTGTATTCGAAGCTTCGAGTACGGCTGTGTTGATAGCCGGGGTTTGGTGGATGACTTTGTCGGTGACGATGGTCTCCATGATCGAAGCCATAGTGGCAAGAGTGTGCAAGGGAAAAAGAAGATTAGAAGTTGATGGGCGCTCTTCAGTCCTCTGGGTCATTTCCAGGAAATAGTCTGAGAATGAAGTAAGGATGGGATCCTTGATCTTTATGCTCTCGCTTGATGACAAGCGCCACGGATGATGCGTAGATATGCCTGATTTATCGGTAAATGCCAGGAGCAGCTGGAAAGGCCCTACCAACACTTTACAACGAGGGGCTGAAATGAGTGAAAATTCATAGAGGGGTCCAGTTCTCAGTAGCTATGAGTCAGTAGCTCTTTCCGGTTTTGATACTATTCAATTCACTGTAAGTGCCATGTATTATACTACTAGTTCGGGTCCTATCCCCAGAAATCGCGGCTGAAAGCAAAACGCGTATGGAATATCGATTATTTCGTGGGAAAATCCATGGCACAGAGAGCAGTGAGCTATATAGTTCACTTGTCGATGCTCATATTCTGGAGTGACTGCCGGGCGCTGCCGCAGAATAACACAGATATTTGAAGATTCTTAAACACTACGCACTACGCACTACTGAGTATTGAGATGGAATATCAAGATTGTATCAGTCGAAATCGGTATATGCCTTATGTTCTCCGGTGTTTCCAATTCATCCAGGACATGGCCTGGGCTCCTAATTTTTCCAACTACAAAAAGTCGAAGTGATTTCTCATTTCAATTCACTTTTAGACTTTGGCTTCACTCTTTTGTTTATTCACATACTGTTTCGAAATTTCCATAGAACATTTGCTGTCATCCCACCTGTCTTCTTTCCTGAACAATCCAAATACTTGCTAGCAAAATTTATGCAAATCCTATTCTACTTACTAGCATCGAAAAGGAACTACTGCCATTGTTGAAGAGAGCCATAATGACCTATTCCGATATCTCGCTCTCAGATCCGGATTCCGAGCCTGAGGTTCCTCGACCTCTGGACCCGCTCCATATCATGATTCGGGAGATGTTGTATGAGGTGCGGGAAAATGAATCCACAATCTCGGCCCTAGAAACATGGGTTCAGACTGTGGACCCAGAAGCATACAGAAAGGATCCTTGGCCTCAGGACCTTGTAGACGCCCATGCCCAGTACAAGGCTTTGGTCGCGGGGATTGATCCGAAGAGGGGGGCTTACAACAATTCTGTTCATAACAGCCTACAAGAGAAGCTGCGCTACACACCAAAAGCCCAACTAGAACGCCTGAGGATCGCCTATGAATGGGGCCAAGCGGCGCTCCGGTACGATTACACTTCCTTTCTTGCAATCTCGAACATCCCTTGACCCTACCTATTGACTTTGAGTGTCAACTCGTCATCGTGTTCTTATATGAGAAGATTACATCTAGCTAATCAGCCTCTCTTCTAAACGGAGCAGCTGAGGCTCGACTTCATGTCCTTTTGACATATCAAACTGCGTACGAAAATAAGAAGGCCATAGAAGGTCATATCAAGCAAGCGAAGGCCAATCTAGATAGTGCCAGGAATGCCGTCATTGCGGCAGGCGAGGAATATCGAAGTAAGTATGAGAATAGTGCTACAATAGAAAAATAGTGGAAGACATCTGAGTGGCTAATCCTATGGTTTCGATAGGCTATTGGAAAGCTATGCCCAAAGAAGAACTACCCTTCAAGGAGGAATAGACCATATCTAGACCCAGCAACTGTAGTTGTCGTCTGCCTACGGTCACAGATACACAAGATGAGAAGACTTTGTTTGCTGGCAAATGGGGATGGACAAAGCGTGTTCAGTGGGATCATACTTCGGGAATTCTCAGCAAACATTAATTTGGGGCTAATGGACGTTGCCACTTCCCGAGACTAGTAAAACTGGGCAGTGTCTTATGCCCACAGACCATAGTCTTGGTTGTGGTTATGAAGGATTGTGTTTTGCTAGAGGTCGATTGAACCCTTTAATAGTCGTGGTCACTCATAATGGACATAGCTAAAGTCATCTAAACGTCGCTTTTTATCATGATTGTTTTGATATCATTTGATCTGTTTTCTTATTGAATGTATCTCATATCTCAGTGGCCGACTGCCTGATCTCCTTCCTCTCTCATATGTCTCCTGCTAACTTCCTCCTTTAGACACCCCACTGACATGAAACGGTTGTTATTCTTCAACCTCAACATAGAAGGTCACTAGATTGCAACTGTGTTTCCTTGGACAAGCCTTTGAAAGTTAGCTGATGAGCTCCTGGGGACATGGATATATCTTCCGGTAATTATCCGGATTATCCGGATCAATGGTCTGGGCTCATTTGTCCAAAGAGGCCACAGTCTCTCCAAGAATGTGGACCTCATAGAACGTGGCCCTTATCTTCGTATGGAGTTCATTCAAGAACGTAGTAGACAGCGATGGCGTTTATCCGACGCGCTCTGGGGTGAACGAAGTTGTCAAAGACGTCACGCATGCTCAGTATCTCCCCGCAGAACGCACACAAGGGTCCCGGGGATGGATATTGTTCCTCATTCATTATCAAGGAGCTGCGCCAACCTATTTAGTGTCTGGAGTTTTCAAGTATCTTCACCTCGCTTCTGAGCAGGCAATCGTGTTTTATCTGCGTGGAAACAGACCCCGAATGTAAGGACAGCAGTGCGCAGACCCTGAATTTGAAGGGAATTGGTCGTTTGCGAGAAAGTGTTCTTGACATCTCATGTAGTCTGAAAGACACGATGGACAGATGATGTCTTGCGTAGAAGCCGTCCTATGAGAATTGAGAGATGTGAAAACGAAAGGTCGGATGCAATTCGTTACCGCTTCATCACCTCGAGTTGACTGACTGCTCCCGATCAACCGGCACACCCAGAGGATAAGTAGTCAGAGGGGTTCATTTCTTTCTTGCTTTTAATTGCTGCTTCTCCCTGCGATTGAGGACAAGACAAAGACAATATACACGTTTGGAAGTACCTTGCGCTTACACACCAGCTTGAGTTTGAGTTTGGCTCTGTGCATCCAAAACTTGGAGCCAACGCCCATATGTGGATGCAGAGGACGTCATGGGAGACTATTGACTATGGTTGAGATAAAGCTGTCCATAGGAAGGATGGTCAATTGTATCTCAGCCTCGTATGAGCTGCAGAGACTGTCGGGGCCAATTTGGCCACGGGGCTTGTCGTGCTCGTTACGGAGGCGCCGAGGGACATCAGGCACGATAAGGTGCCCGCAAATCGGCGAATTTTCTTCTTTGATCGGTACGTATTCTGGGCTGTAGAGCAATACTGCCCGTTATCTAGGCTTCTGTGTCATAGTGGGCAGCATAACTGACGAGTCCCGCTAAGGCTGATGGAGGAGAACTGGAATGACTCAACAGAGCAACAAGAACGATATCGGAATGGGTCATATTGAGCCCGGAGGGGAACCATTCGCATCCGATCATCTTGACAAGACTAACAGTACCTCAGGCTTGTTGTCGGAGAAAGTTTGCAAATCCAGCATATTGGTAAGCCGGGCACAGAGTCTGAGACGTGGTTCGCATACCTCGGACTGCCCAGGCATCCCTTTGCACCAGACATTGACCTCATGGAGGACACCGAGCGACAGACCAGCTTGATGAACGACAACGCAGCACCCACCACAAACCGCTCTGCAAAGTTCCTCGTTTCGAAAAAAACCCACAAATCCGTCGTGAAAGAGAGCGCAGTCTCTAAAAACCAGCATAGAGAGTTTTCACATGTCGACAAACTCTCAGAACCCGTAGAGGGAGAAGCCGGCGGCCTTATGTTCATGCAGCACCATTAATCTCTCCCAAGATCGAGTGACGCATCTGCTTCGTACCAGATACTGCCGACGGCACGCCTGGGGTAATCATCCTCATCCCCCTCCATTGTGTTGTCCCAGCTCTCTTGGCTATAGCGATCCGTGTCGGGACTGTACACTTGCTAGGTCCTTTCCCCGAGAGGTCTTAGTCGTCGCAACCGTCGTCGTCGTAGTTTTTTTTCCATCATCTGCCGGCTGTGCAACTGGCCGTGGCGTCCCGGCCGGAAAATGGAGACAGCTTTCTCTCGTTCTTGCACTGCGTGATGACCAGAAAGCTCTCTTGGAACACGATAGTGGTGGCAACGATCAGTCAGGCAAGGAATATCATTGCCACACTACTGAACCTGCTCATGGTGCGTAACCGTGACTATTCTTATGCATGCTGATTTCAATTTCTGTACGTATCCTGTCCAGAGGCCATCAGGGAGGATGATTTCCTTTAGGAACTGATCTCTATCTTGTGTTCTGAAGAAACTGTATCCATTGCTAGCTTTATGGTCGCCACAATGAGAGCAATGGAAAGTTCTATCTAAAACACATCAGTCGTGATGCGAGTTTGTTCAGGACTGGAGGGCTTACCATTCTTATATATAAGATCCGGCTAAGCGAAACTGAGATCGACCACCCACATTCGTGACCTAAAGCCTTCTCACGAAGTCGGTCTGGAGATAGGGGAACGCTCAGCTCAACTAAACAGCGACTATGGCAGTTCCCCCATGCTAAAATGCTGGGACTTTCGTCAACGAGACATGCTATGGGCGTGTGGGAACACCAAGTTTTGGGTTGTTCGCCCATTCTAGGACCCTTTCAAAGTGGACAGAGTTCTGGCGCGAGAAGACATTCCTAGAGCAGATGGAGTACTAGGGAAACGAACGAAATTATATATTCGAGAGTGGCAAAAATAAAAATTAGGTGAAGCAGTCAGCAATGGTGAAATCAGGACAGTGACCGAGAAAAGTGGTGGCAAATGTTGATTGAATATGATTTGTGTACATGGATTCCCAGAAACGTAGGGAATGAAGAGCTATGGAATATCTATTGCAGGGATTTGATATACTTCACACCCGCGATCCAGTGGTCTAACGACATTGAATATCATAGGTTAATGATCACGAACGCACACACCCTCGCTCGTACCGTCTTTGACAACCCCTACTGGTTGTACGTTGGTTTCTCCAGGAGAAGACAGCGATTGCGTTTCCTTTGGAGGTCCAGATAAACACACTTGATAGATGAGGGATCCCACCCACCAGTTTAATCATTGAAATCTTCGGTTTTGTTCTTTTCCTTGTCGCAGTCACAGGACGCCACACCCTTGCGAGCCGACGGCCACCGAGTGTTCAAACACCGTATGTCTGCCTTTTGTGATGATTTCCAGATACTCGTCCAAGTAACCTGTCGCAGCAACTCGGTCCGCGTTGAAGGGAAGTTAGGCGTCTGATCCGGTAATCTTCAGCCAGATACCAACGACTTCCCATACTTCTGCAGGCAATAGATCCTCCGATCGTCATCATGTTTCATTAAATCCTCTCTTTAAGTCTCGCTCAGCAGCATTTCCCAGTAGAGGTCGCTGAAATTGAGATGGGCAATTCGCCGGTGGTATGGACCTTGACACAGGCTGATATATCGTGAAGATTCATCTTTCCTGAATGATATCGAAGTCATCATCGGACTCCGGATGAAAAGCATGTTCGGCTGGTACTAAGCCATAGCATCGATCCGGAATAGTTAGAAGTAGCGTGCTGAACAAGAGCAGATGCGTGCATCTTATCGAATTGTATATAAGGTTGCTGTTCTGTAATGGCTCAACCAATGCTGGATAGGGTCGAGAAAGGCTCACACCAAGTGGCCTTCTGGTGAGATAAGATTCTGGGCCCGAAGACACGCTATCAAATGTCAAACATTGGATTTGGCTCGAGCAGTGAGTGGTTATATATGGAGACACCCAAACTTCAGTAAGGCCCATAATGTAAGTTGGCCAATGTGAAATGGCCTCGGAGGCGGATTCTCAATATTCAGTTTGACAAGCATCTGCTCTAACCGGAGGAGGAAATTGAGTCTGAAAATGTAGGTCGAACACTTCATAGTAAACACGCACATGAGAGACGGTAGAAACACCCATAAATATGAAATCGAAGCCAGCCTCATCGACTCGATATCTTCTGTGATACCACAACTGAAACCAGGCGTGTCTACTTGGTTGTGTAGGTCTGGAACGTGGTCCTCAGAAAAGCTAGTTCCTTCCTGGGCTGTTTTTCCGACACCCAGAGCCATTCCTGCTTGGTGATGGAGTAAGGACCTGGGTGTCGCACTGGTGCCTTTATATCAGATTTGGCAGGAAGAAGATGAGAAACATATGCTTGCGTTAGCTGACGCCAGCACGCGGCACCGATCCTGCTTGGTGATGGAAAGGCGTTGCAATGGCGATGAGCGATTTATAATCGTCTCTTGGGGCCAAAGCAGGTGAATATCTTTAGAACTGAAATACATGGACTCGAGATATGTCCACCGTTTCTCTAATAGACCGTAAAGAGAGACAAATGTCGACATAAGTCCGTCGAACCGAAGATTGACCTGGCTAGGCCTCTAGACGGCGTAAATAAAACAGCAGAAGAAAACGAGTTTCTTCAGAGTTGGTTTCGGTATCCTGAAGCACCAATAACCCAAGCCAGGTCATATCAGGCGAAGGGACGCTTCGATGGTTCTCGTCCGAGTCACTCGAGAACATTCATATGCCGTGATCCGTCCCGTTCAAATCTGACCAGACCTCTGCATCCCTGGATGAGCATGATTGCCGTTCGAGACCTCCAAGCTGTATCTCCCCAGCTGGATGGAAGGGATGATTGAGTAGACGACCAATAAACTCAAAAAGCCATGGTGCCCGTACATCGATCACACCGATTTACGGCGGTCGGCAGTTCTATTGTCGTCCTTCTGCTTTTTGTTACTCTGTAAATTCTGGGTGCAACCTTCATATTGCGCTTCTGTTTATGCAAGGAGCAGTCATGCATTCTCCGACAATGTTATCTTCGTTGAGCTTGTAGTGAAATGGTTGGATGGGCACCAGTAGGTTTGTTCCCCTTTGCCTATCATCTCCGGTGAGCAGCTCTCTGTACAAATAGAGGGCCTAGGACCATGGCAGTGGATAGCCTTCAGTGTTTCGAAGTTGAATAACGATGTCTGGCGATGGGAGGCAAGTCGTACTTTGCTCAATCACGGGTAACAGCCTGCTCAACTCTTTCATTGTGTAGACCCCGCGCCTTCTTTTTCAAGATGGGAACATTCTCTCTGCGTAGCACGGCTGGGCCCATACCATATTACTCCGATGCCGATTATTTCACATTGCAAGCGCAAGAGGAACTATAGCATGTCTGCGTAGCTGGCCTAGTGCATATCACCAAAGAATGAGGAGCGGGTGAAATGAACATTCGTTCGAGCTCAAAGCCAAGGAAGGGAGCCAATGATGCTTGTGTTCCGTGCTGTAGAGAAGAATGTGAGATTCAATGTGAACGGTGAATGGACTTTGAGCCACGCCATGGTATCTCACTCTGTTTTTGACGGCTTACAAGAAGATATAACCGTCATTGTCGAGAGGCAAGCCTTGATTCCTCGTTGGGAAGGAAAAACATCCAAAGAGAGTCAGTGCGCAACAGCCAGCGTCAATGAGCTCATCAGTATCCATGTTATTGGGATAGGCAAAGGTATTCTAGACTAATCATGCGCAAAAGCCCAAGCCCAAGCATCCGTGCGCTTGTAGATCTTGAATACAGCCAAAGAAAGCGGCCTCATCAAAACTGTTTGAGTATGTTCACCCAGGATAGACGTTCGGGCGACGACGCCAATGAGACATCTATATGTCGGGAAGTGGCTCGGAGGACACCACAAGGCAAACAGCATCATAGGGGTGACTCGATTGCAACAATATCAAAGACACCACCAATGATCTTGTCTTCGTATCCTAGGAGTGGATGTGGCTACGCCACAATCCCGACTATATGAGACCACCTCATGCAAGGCGATGGTTAGAGAAGGATACAACTTGTAGTCGTAGGAAGTGCGCAATGACGCAGATTGAGAGGTGGCTTCACAGTCACCATTGAGGTGCAGGACCCCGCAACAAAGAGGTCAGACGAGCGCAGGAACGAATGTGTTAATTCTCTCAAAGTCATAAACCAACCTTCCCAGCAGTAGAAACAGCAGAAACGGCTTTTGAGTAAGGAAGGTCGGAGATGAGATGTATGACTTATCCCATAGCTCGTATATCCTCCTGCTCATATTTGATATGTTAGTTTATTGAAACAGGCGCAAAATGATGCCCTTTTCAGCTTCTAGAGGCAAGCTCTGCAGTAGAGCCCGCTCAGTCATTTCCATCACGAATCGGAAGATATCGGCGGGAGCGATATGAGTTGACACAATATATATTTCCATCATTCTGAAAGACTCGCAGAACTTTTGTGCCGTTCCTTCCTTGAAGACATGTCGACTGACCCGAATTGGATCTCCTTTGACACATCACTGAACTCAGAGTGGGACGAGGAATGTGTGATATGTAAGGCTCACACTGACTTGGAAGAAACGTGAGATACCATTTCAAATATATCAAGTGTTGTCGTTCGAAAAATTTGGTTTGTGGGTATGCAACCTCAAGGCAATATGTTTGTGCTCGAAGTGCACTGTCGTCAGCCGAGTCTTCAGTACTTCGCAAAGGCAGTATCTTGGAGGGTGCCGAAGAACATCCCCAGGTGCGAGGACATTCTCGAGGAAAAACTTCTTATGATGTTCCGAGAATTTGTGTGCTTTGGCGACCATGCATCATGACCTGGGTGGTCTCTCAGTGTGAGTGGAAGAACAAGTATAGATGCGCAGACTAGCCCGAGGCAATATTCTTTTTACCTTTTCGAGAAACTTGTGTGTTTTAGCGACCAGACATCATAAGCTGTGTGGTCTCAGAGACCACACAAGCAATTTCTGTAGTTGTCAAGGACAAACCACAATGACACAGGGTCAAGATGTACCTCGAAACGTGGTCTGTATTTCAGGATGTACGGTTTAGGAAGGCCGAATTCAATGTCAATATAACCGTCACACTCATCTTCATCACTGAGTGTATGTGCAGAATGCACACAATACATACCGTTTCGACAGCCGGTAGGTCTTGGGAGGTATTCGGTGATATCTCAGAGTAGGAACATACGCCGGGCGACGTAGTTGAGCGTTATATAGTTCACAGAACCTGCAAAGTCAAACCGCTCTCTGTAAGTCGCCTCATACTCAGGATGTTAGACAACAATCGATTTGCCGTAGTGGTGGCCCCCAAAGAGACCCCGGAAGGTCACTTTGTGACTTCCCATTAGGATGGGAGTAGAAAGGCAACGCGTCAGTTGGAAATTGAGACGACATGCGAAAGCAGAACCACGTCGCATCTTCTTCTGCATGGCCGAGATCTTCAATAACTGACAATATAGTGAACAACAATGAATGTAATTCCCAGATGTTGGTCGGAGAGCAGAGAACATATTCTCAGGGAAATCTACCAAGAGGAAGCTCGAACGACATGGTGACTATATTGCATTCTTCTCATGAGACTGGACCATGCTCTTTTTGTGAGAAAGAAGGAAGACGCTTATCATTTATGACAATGAATCAGCTCGATCTCCACTGCCAGCTCAACGGAGCAAATGACTTAGGAAGTGTCTCTGGCAATTGAGGAAGTGAGATATGCGTCACTAGCTATGGACTTGCAAGGTTTGTTTCCCCGCCATTGTCGCCATGGAAATGGCCGACATTGGCATGGGGAGGTTGTTCCTGACTTGAATATATAGTATTGCTCTGTATTGATTGGAGAGAAGGAATGAGGAGCAACAGAGAATAGGATGGTGGCGCCTCTTATAGTTCTTGGACCGGTCTGGGATATGGCGTTTGCCGTGAGTTTGAAGTCAAATATGGGAAAGTTCCGTTCACATATTCTATACTGGAGACATGGTAATCTCTTAGAGGATGTGTAGAGAGTGGAATATCCCGAGAAGATTCTCTAGGAACTTGCGAGTTTATATAGCTAAGAAATCAACCTTATTGGATTCACCTAAGTACTGCACCATCAACACAATTCGAATTCCAATTCGCATTGATAGATGCTACGTGAAGTAAAGACGGGAGACGTAAGTGATCCACTTGATATCATCTTCACGGAGTAGACTGGCGCTAAAGTGCTATAGATTGACTGCACTGCACCTAGATACCTCGAGTTTGTTTGGGAGGAGTACTGCTCACAAAACAATCATCATTCACTCGAACTGTACATCCAACGCTAATCGGCTCAGGCTGTTTGTCCTGTACCACGAGAATATTTTAATATTATTGGTTAGACGCTATGTTTAGCCTGAGCGGATATTCGATGATATCCCGTCACTTTCATCGCTTAGCCGTCACTCTCATCAGTTATCTGCACCTATTCACGGTTCGTGCAGGATATCAGTATCGCAGATGAGAAAATGAATTTGACATAAATGATTTGTCATTGCGCCGGACTTAATACTAGAAATAGCGAGTTCAAGCCAACACGCCCATCGGGTCCCACCTGGGCAAGACCTTCGGACTCTGGTCTAAAATTGCGCGCACTTCACTCGAAACAAAGTCCGAGTCCACCACGGCCTGAAGTGTATATTCATCCATCCAGCGATCTGTCATTACAAACCAGCCCTTATCACCAGCAGCTTCGCCCCACGAATTCTCGACACGCCAGCGCACCGGCTTTCCATCTTCGATATGCACACCTGTGATGACCATGGCATGGGTCATTGCTGATTCTCCGCTCACCAGCCTCTGGGCTTTGCTCATTCCCAAGGAGATATTGAATCCCAGGGTGAGGTCCATGATGTCAAGATCCATGATTCCCAGCGTACTATTGCTGAATTTACCTACGTCACAACCGAAGAACACCGGATGACCGGCTTTGAGCATTGAGATGACCGCTTTCTTGAGGATCTGTGATAGCAGCGTGTTAGTGAGAAGGAATCGAAGAAGATGATATGTTCACGTACCTTCATCTCCACATTGGCATACGTGAGTGGTCGTCCTTCCAGCACATTTCCTAGCCTCTCCACTGTCAACAGTCTGTTATACTCATTGCGCGGATCATTGACCAAGCTGAACAGGCGCGCAGGAGCGACGCTGCCCTTCCTCACAGCTCCCAGGCTCGTGGCCTGACGAGCAAACTCCCGTGGGGTGAGTCTAATTTCTTTAGACTTCCCCTCAGCATCATAATACTGCCACACAAACGTCTCATCAGGACTAGGAGGGGGTCCCAGCAGAAGAGTAACCATCGAGTGGATCTCCTTCAAGAACCGCTCCTTAGCATCCGCCAAGCCGGCAGCATCACCACTACGCACCAGGCGTCTCAACACAAGCGCCTGCTCACGCAACTTAGCCGTGACCAACCAATTCATCTTGGAGCTATTCTGCGCATGGTATGCATCCGGATACAGATCATGCGGGACGAGACCATACTTCTCAATCAAGTTGACGACCATGTCCCACTGGCCGCCATCACTGACGGGGTCTTCGAGGAGTTTCTGGACCAGACGACCAGAAAGGTCCTCGTCAGCAGTGGTAATAATCTGCTCAAAGAACCAGTTCGCCTTCTCCAGCTTGTCCCAGTAAAACAGGTATGCTTGGCTCAGCTCAAAGTCCTTCAGGTTATACACCTTCATCAACGGCACTCGGTATACGTTAGTCGATGCGAAGAGCCAGCATCGGCCGGAGGATCGCTGGTTCGTGATCGGGGAGCCTTCGATGGGAACTTTGATGTTGAAGATGTGGAGGTCAGATTGGAGAGCGGGGCGGTTGGCTAGCACTTCTGTGTAGGGTTGGCTGGCGAGACTAGATATGGCAAGACGGTTCTGTTGTTATCCGTGAACAGAGTTAGTTTGGTTACGAATGAGAGAGCTGGACGGGTTGCTACACTTGCCTTGGCATTGCCCAGTAAGGTCTCGTTCCAGTCTTGGACGTGCTGGAGGGAGAGAGTGAAAGTGCGTTCGCGCACATGGTATGGTGGTGCTATGATTATCAGCATATGTCCTATCTAAGACAGAAGCGGGTGCTTTCGTACGAGGCTGGGTTGACTCCTTTGTGTAGAGTGGCAGAGAGCAAGTATCGGCATCTTCAACCCACTCGCGGTGCGAGCGCTTTTCCTCGCTATGGCTAATGGGCTCTGGCTTGGAATAACTGGCACCCATGGTGACTGGATACGATGTCTAGTAGAACCGAAACAGAAATGAAGATATATGGGTGCCTTTGGGGGGAAACGAGGGAAGATGACCGATAAGGAAACAGACAGGCAGGCGGAAGTGGTCATTCATAAACGTGAAGGACCCGGGGAGCCAGCGAGCGGGGAATCGAACAGCGCAGGATAAGATATAGGCGTTCTATTGGCCTGGCGGGCAAGGGATTATCGGCTGATTGTTGATAATTGGCTGCTCTGGCGGCTAAGCAAGGCTTAACGCTCGGACGGGGCAACCAAGGATGATCACATTCTCGGCGTGAATTCCGACATGTGGCAAGGTTGCCTTTTAGCCCTACTGATATCTAAGGCATCAAATTTACTTACACTACTAAGCAAATGATCGATCGCACATGGTCTGGAGATCAGGAATATGATATCCGCATTAGTTTAGCATAACGACGGTTGTTGATCGTCGTGACTAGCTACGCGATAAATGGCCATGAAGCCGGCGACCATCAAGATGTTTTTGTATGTATCGGCAATACTAGTACAGCTCTGTTGATGAAATGTGCTCAACGAAGTAAATATCCAAACCATAAGACACAATCCTAATTTTTTCCCCTACTAGGGACATACATGCATACGAGCTTGTCTTGGTTTCATCCCGTGAACTGGAGACTATTGGACCCCAGCACCACGTTAAAGTGCAAGCTCATCGCTGGGGGTAAGTAGGGAAGTAGATAACACTATATGGCGGGAGGTACGCACCTATACCTACGACTTGCGACGGCAATCTCTAGCCCTTTTCCTCTTTTTCTCCCCTGCTTCGTCGTAGCTCTCTCCTCGCCTTCCGATCTGTCAGCCCTTAGCTGAATACACTGCGAGCACCTTGAAGAACCATAGGCGCTATGCCTGAGAGCAGGGGTAAGGTCTCTAGCAGGCCTTGAAAGGAATATGTACGCTGACCGGCGGCAGCCCAGGATATGACTTGTTCGGTAACAGTCCATTATCTTGCAAATGGAGTGCTGATACCGGCAAGATCTTGCGGAAGCGAAATCTGTCCACATCGAGCTTCTCGTTTTCGGGGTCATGAGATACTCGGATCCCCAACTCTCTACGCTTTCCGCCATATTCAGTGCCATGACTTGGTGCTAGGGTCAGTCTTCCACGAATTGTACGACAACTCGGAGATCCTGTCTCGAAGCTGGCCCACCCTTATCCGCGGGCGAAGACTTAGGATGGAAGCAGCCTCACGGATCTCCGGGCCCCCTTCCCAGCGTTTCGAAAACCGTTGTCGTGAGATCTTTACGGCCTTGTGAAGGCCTCAGACTTGTCAAAGCACCATACCGCGGGGTATGCCGACCCTTTGTTCATATCTCAAGTCTGATACATCCGGCGCTTGGCAGCTAAGGAGTATAAGCATGGGCTGAAGCGTAATTTCGAAGAACGGAATAACATACAGGAACAATAACACGGAAGTTTGTAGAGGGACAGTGATGAATCGATCATCTGATAAACGATGGACAAGTAACAGTAATTGGGCGAACGAGATGTAAGAAATGAAATGCCCAAATACTAGCTGAACAGCTGGTAAATAGCTAGCAAATTATACAGCCCGCCTGGTGAGGCCAACGAGGACAAATTGAGCCCGCGATGAAGTGAGTTGAGGCATAGATGCTTAATGAAGGAAATGAAGGCGAGGAAGTGCGGTGAAAAGGACATGTTTTTCTGCGTAGCATTGTGATGCGACAGAAGGTGCGATGAGGGTGTGGAAAGTCCGATGTCAGGAACTGGCACTGAGACGAAACTGGGAAAGAGCACCTATGTGTCACAATAACCAGATTTGCAGAATACTGCTCACCACGTCCTTGTATGTACATGAGTGTAGACACTACTAACAGATATCACCAGGATGATGAGTGCTCCCAACATCTGTACCTAATCATATAATCATCTATAAGGAAAATAGTATTGACTCTAGCATAGTTGTAGTTAGAACCGTATCAGGTCCTTGCTATCTAAATGTTTCTAATAGTGCGAACAGGAGTCCCAAAAAACAAAGCAAGCATGGGCACCTATCCGGTGACTCTCGCTCATTAGTAGTTGCCCACATTTGTGCGCCTGAAAAGGTCGAATATCTTGCTCAACGTCAGCCTTCCAGTAGGGCCAAATACACCGCATGTCTAACAGTCAGATAACCAACTCCATCGAGTTGTAGATAAATACATATGAGAAGCCAGAAGGGACTAAATCCTCCAGTCCGAGATTGTCCAATAAGGCGGTCGCCTCAAGACTGCGAATCGTGAATACAGGCCTCATATGGCGCAGTGATTCTTCTCCGGGCTTCATGCCCTATGCGTCATTGTGTCGACAAGGTATATCTGCTGCTCATGGCGCATGAGTGATAAAGTACGCCCGGGAACCTGAAGGAACCGATAATCCACCCAGAGATTGAAAAAGTCGTCTCTGTGGTTCAGCAGGCCCGCTATACCATTGAAGGTACGGACTATATCATCGTATTCGGGATTCTGACTGTAGACCGCGTTGTTAGAGGTGACAAAACCTTCTGACATGATAAACGCAGTTGCATAGTTGGCAAACGCCCAGTCAGCTGCTACAACCATTTCCTCTGTGTCTTGAATGATCTCAAACCTTCTAACGCGGGATAGACGACAAAACGGCAATAAAACTTCGTTGAAGTCGTATCCAAGTCCGTTCTTGCAAAAGGTCGAGTTAACTTGGCCGTTCCTGATCCAGTCAACGCCATTATGCTTGCGTAGGCAAATCGCCATAGATATAATAGCCTCTGGAGTAGATCCAAGTTGATGTAATCTCTCGTACACCGGCTCACTCCGATATTTGTAGTGTGGGTTTTCCCGATCACAGTACTTTCTCGAGTCGTCGATAGTGCACAGCATTTGAGTTAGTTTCGATATTTTCTCCCAGAGCAAGATAAATTGGCCGCAGTCGTCAGGGTCAGGCGCATATATGTGAAGAACAAGTTCAAGTTTATCGTACGGTACCCTTGCCAGATTACTGAATTTGTTATAATCTCGTCTTCCGATCACCCACTTCACACGTAGTAGTTTACAGCGAATCTCGATCCACGGATCTTCGAAAGTTGGGAAAAGATGGATGTCAAATGTATCGTAAAGACGGTCGGCTATATCATGATAGATTGCCTGACTGGTTCGAAGGATCGCAAGGGAGCCCTCCTTAACAAGATTCTCCCAGATGAGTAAGCGTATTTCGGATGGCAAAAAGATGAAATGACCAAACGGTGAAGCGCTCATGGTGAATGTTGGCTGATATTCCTGATTGATGAAGATGTTAAGAGAGTTGTACTTGGCAATGTAGGCTATGGCGGAGACGAAAAGTAGAAACGGGAAAGTCATGTTCATCGTGACATCAAAATGTCAAATCAGCGCCTAGATTCGAAGAGTCTTGAAGACATCATGACGGTTTCTATGACACAAGAGAAGGAATAATTCGTAGACCGTTTGGCAGCTCAGACACCATATGCCATCATAACTATATCTACCATGACTTTTGATTAACCGCGGTACGGCCCAACACGATTTACGCAGGCTTTACTATACAGTACTTGATGTTCCACATATCCTCGCTAGAATCCACATAGAATTCATCAGCCAGTAGATAGAATCTCTTTTACTCACATGCAAAAGCTACACATCACATGTGGCCCTCATTTCATCATACTGTTCATCTTCTTCCAGACACCTACGCGACTTCGCATTAGCCCGGGCATGATACCAAAGACAAGTATAGAGGAATGTGGACTTTACGTACTCTCAAAAGAGACAAATCCAGTCTTGTCTTCATCATAGAAGTTGAACATGGCCTCCAACTGCATATCGTTCAGTTGGCTGCCGCTGCTGCTGCCTTTCACGGCGTTCTTGAACTCGGGAAGAGCGAGCTTTCCTATTCAAATACATGCAGCATTAGTATTGAGAAGCCACTAATAATCACGTTAGATGTGGTATTTACCTTCGCCGGATTTATCCTGCATTCCTTGTTAGTATCTAATAACCCAGATAATTTTAGGTACGACTTACCGCCTGCTGGAAGAGAGCCTTCAGCTCATCGTAAAAGCCCTGGGTTCCCTTGGATTCCTGCATAATCAGGATGAGTCTATGGCAAGGAGTAATACACCTAAAAATAGCAGGTACTAACCGAAGCAGACATTTTGTATATTCTGAGAGTTGTTAATTACTAGTAAGTATGAAAATGGATGTGTTAAGCACGGCCAGATCGATGTCGTGGAATTTTTCATCTCCACTTTTCCTTCTCGGATGCGCGACACTCACTCGCTGAAGGGGCGACCCACTTGCTTATTTGGGTCAAAACCATGGATTAAGTTGACGACCGATATTCCCTTCATGCATATGCCCTACTATTGAGTGAGTGACGCCAACGTAAGAAGAGTATCTATAGAGGGTCTGATATTCGAATTATTCATACTCCTGCATTCTTCTTCTCGGAGATTTTCGCTCTCCCACTATCCACTGTACCGTGTATACCCCACGGTTTATGGAGACTACTAACGCACCTGTGACACAATTGCGTATATTATGTAGTCAGAGGGAATTACTCGGCATGGTAATCGTGTGCTCAACTCCCCATGTCACTTATCTCTCTGTCCTTTCGTGGATGTTAGTCTTGCTCTGCAGTTCAAATTCGACACTCTGGGTAGGACTAGTAGTAAGATGCCTGTGTAAGGACTCTGCGACCGTGCATTGATCGTAAATTTTCTGCGCAGAAGTAGTCTCTTGAAAAGTCTTGATTGACTAAACTATTCACATTTTGTATATTCATATCTGTTTGTATGTGAAGAAGGGTCCTACTGGCAGGTTGTTTTACCTGGTTAGAACCGCTCAACAACACAAACCCAACCCAGTTAATCACTTCCCAATATAGCATCAATTGAGCGATATACAAAGTACTCTCTGCGTTCCAGAAAAATCAATAACGCCAAAACATTGGTCCGTGCCAATGTAATGACCGATAAGAAAAGTAAGCATCAGGATCAGGATCAGCAATCTTGGCACGAACATCCCCGGCGGACCTGCGTCGGAACCCCGGTGACA